AGAGAGAGAGAGAGAGAGAGAGAGAGAGAGAGAGAGAGAGAGAGAGAAGGAAAGACAAAAGAAAGGCAGGCAGATAGGCAGGCAGACAGAAGATAGATAGATAGAAAAGAATATGTGTGTGTGTGTGTGTGTGTGTGTGTGTGTGTATGTGTGTGTGTGTGTGTGTGTATTTGGGGGCAACAATGCAATTTCAAGGCATTACTGAAATCTTAGAAAAAATATAGCTTGACAATATAAACAACCAACTCCAATGACCCAAAAACAATAAAGACTAGAATAGTATTGGAAAATTTATACATCAAAGTCAAATATTTAAAATGTTTTATGTTCATTTCTGCTCCACTACTAAGAAAGAAAGAAAGGGAACCTTGACTTCCTTGATACCCAGTGAAAATATTTCTATTTACTTAGCCATGCCGAGATTTTCTGTTTATAATAGGCTGTTAAGGTTTTGATGTTTTTATATAAAGATATCTTATTCACTATTTGAAAAAAACAGACTATTATAGAAACTGAAGGTTTGAATACTAAAGTTGAAGTTTTGTTCTTCAAAGAACTACATCTATTGAGTGTAGACCAGAGCTTTTCATAAAATCACTTGAGTATTTACTGAATCATAAATCAATTGAAAAGAATGATCTCTTAACAACTTCATAGACATTATATTAAATGGTATGCAAGGGACCACTTTCAATTTTTTCTGATAGGGAAAGAGATCACAAACATAGGAATATTTTGCTTTGGCCTATAAGGGAAAGAATATTTGGCAAAAGGTATACTTCATATGAACTTCTCAGAAAGGTCATGGATGTATCATGAATAACAAAATGAGGGTGGATTTTTTATTAACATTTTGCATATATAATAAATAATGAGTGTAGATTTGAACAGATTGTGTCAATTAGTGTGGAATTTGGCCATAATATGATGTTAAAAAATACAACACTCTGTGAATATTCCACTCTTAATCACCTGTATAAGTTAACAGAAAAAAAGGAAGAAAAGAAAAAAGAAAAAAAGAAAAAAGAAATTGTCCATCTTTAATCCTTAATCTTGGCATTTTGAAGACAGAGGCAGAGGGGCAGAGGGGCAGAGAGAGGGACAGAGAGAGGGGCAGAGAGAGGGGCAGAGAGAGAGGCAGAGGGGCAGAGGGGCAGAGGGGCAGAGGGGCAGAGGGGCAGAGGGGCAGGGGGCAGAGGGGCAGAGAGGCAGGCAGAGAGGCAGAGAGGTAGAGGCAGAGGGATCTCTGTGACTTCAAGGCTAGCCTGGTTTATAGAAATAGTTCCAGGATATACAGGGTTTGATAGGAAATTCTGCCTAAAAGAGAAAAAGGAAAGAAGAGGAGAGGAGAGGAGAGAAGAGAGAGAAGTGGAGAGAAGAGAAGAGGAAGTGTGTAGATACACTTCTCTAGAAGAGATTAAAGGTTTGACAGTTAAATAACTCAGCTAGCTCAAAATTAAGCTCAATTATTACATATTTGCATACGAACCTATTTCCATTTTTTCCTGTAAAGCCAGAGCCAAATATTTTAGCAGATTTTTAAATCTGCAGTATAAGCATCATTGATTCCAAACCCAAGGATGAAAGTCTGACTTTAATTAAAATTTAACACTCACCTAAGCACTGGTTATAAAATTAATTTTTAAATTATGTGAATCCATTTCAAGTAAATACTTTATCTCTCAGGGGTTTCAAGTGGAAACATTAAGTTTTAGTAAAAGTGCCTGTGTTAATTGGGTAAGGGACATGGTATGGAAGTTGGGGAGATTAAGTAATTACAATGAACCAGGTTACAAATTGTCTACAATGCCATACGTTTCTTTTATGAGGAATGAATACTTACAGTGAGTTATTTGAAAAATCTATGTATGAATTTAATAATTTCCTTCTAATTTTCTTTATGCTGTTTTTATTTATTCACTGTTTAAAGTCCTCAAGAGTTTATTTTAAACATAACCGGGATCTATCAGGAATATATGAGATGGTCAAGAAAATAGACCTATAAAATACAGCATGATGCTCAAGATTGTAATTTCAGCACTTGGAAGACTGGGATGTTGTATTTTTGCCTTGGCAACAAGTAAAACTCTTTCTCAGAAAAAGAGTGGGCAAACAAATCTGAGGCACCAAGCATGTATCTATTCTTACTTCCTCTTTCATTTCCAGATACTGCAGTATCTACCTAAGATTAGAATTGTCAGACATTGCAGTGTGTAAGACAATGAAATTTTAAGCAATGAAATTATTTAGCTTTCCCCCTTTATTCTTGGAGACACTGAGAAAGTACATCAGCATTCTTTATTATGTAAAATCTAAGGGCATTGCATTACACACGTTTCTGTTCACTGATGCATGAACAAATATCAGAATTCTAAGGTGAATTAATATTGCCATACAAACATATTAATGTGACAATTCAAAGAACTGAGTTTGGAACAAGAGCAACAATTTACACTTCGATACAGATAATCAGTTTCCCAGGGTACAAGGCATTTCATACAAAATCTAAAATCATGGTATCCACTGGACAGTGAATACAACATCAAACAGTGTTGAAATACTGATGTTTAATATCCAATGTTAGCATTGCTAAGGAAAAAAATGAGCGATAGTTTATCTTACATTGATTTGAAGGCATCAGCTATGTACTTCCCTTTTTTAAGGATTATGGAGTATTGAGATTACTCTTATAAGATAGAATTGTTTAAATTTCTTCTTAAGCTAACAAAGATTTAGATACAATTTGACAAGGTCAGCCAAGTATACAACTCCCTTAAGAGTTTAAGGCTACGCAATATCAAATGCATTTGACAAAAAAAAAAAAATTGAGCAAAGGCATTTTGTTTATTCTAGACTTCCAAACTCTGCTCATTCCACAGGAATCTGAACTTATAGAACTACGGGAAACCATTGAAATGCTGAAGGCCCAGAACTCTGCTGCCCAGGCAGCCATTCAGGGTGCGCTGAATGGCCCAGACCACCCTCCCAAAGGTATTGTGTCGGCTGTCACCCCATATAATAAGCATTGGATTTATGCATTAGTTAGTGTAAAGTCTCACATCCTCAGTAGAACTGCCTTTTATAGTAAGTAGAGTTAATTTTTTTTTCAGAATCGCAACCTTTGTGCTTTCATTATCAATTGATTCTTAAATTATGAACTTATATCCAGTCATACAAATTGGTTTTCTACTTGACCTAGTAGATTTGAATCTAGAAGGTGGAGAGAGTTGGTGAATTTGTGCATATCTGACTTTGAGCAAATCAAGCATAGCAAGGAATCTGCTAATCAAGATGCAACATACAGTGGGAACAAGGTCTTAGCCACAGGGTCAGTGAGAAGGTACATTTCCTGTAGCCAGAAGTTTTAAAGATAACCAGGAGTCAGATGGAAGGCTATCAATATCATATTATGTTTCTTTGATTCTTTGCTCCTTTCCCTATGCCTTGGTATACTATGGAAAAAGAGCTTATTGTTTTTAAGTCCTGTTTTCTTTACATGTGTTCTACATTTATTTATGTCTTGACCTATCAGCAGCTTCAAGTACATGTGTTCTTCCTCCAGTGTTAAATCTGTTAAATCCTGGGTGTTTTGTCATCCATTTTTTTTCTCATTTCCAGATAAGTTCTAGAAAACTCTTTTGCACTCTTTCAGCCTCTTCCATTACAAATCACCCTTCAACCCACTGGATGACACCTCATCCCCACTTTTCTACCAAAATTATTCTGTCCAGAACCAATAATGACTTACATGATACTCAATTCATAACATATCTAAGTTCTTGTATTGACAGGACAAGAGATTCTGCTATGGCCAAACTCTCAGATTTAAAATGTTAATTTTTGCTGATATTCATGCTGTCTTACATTCTTCTTTAGGGAGCATACTTTTAATCATCATGACATTTTTTTTACATACATATCATATTTTATTTCACCCTCACATGGTGTTCTCTTCTGTCACCCTTCCTCTCCTCTTTCTGGCCCCCTACCTTCCTGGAAATTGTTACATCTTCGGCTTTCTGACCCATATGTTCTGTCACTCTCCTGTTCTCCTCACAACTTCCTATTAGCCCTGTTGTCTCCTCTTACAATCACTTTCTGCTACATACGCAGATAAACCTAAATTGACATTTTGCATGAGAGAACACATGGCATTTTTCTTTTGAGCTTAAATCATTTCTTTTGGCACGATGATCTCTGGTCCCATTCATTTGTCTACAAATGGAATGATTTTGGTTTTCTTTCCAGCTAAATAAAACTCTGTAATCCAACTGTTCTAGAATGTCTTGACCAACTATCTGTTGGGGAACATCTAGTTTAGGTTGGTTATCAGGATACTGCCACCTAAACGTGGCTGTGTAAATGTCTCTATGGTATGATGAGTTAGAACCATTCAAGTACATACCTAGGTATGGTGTAGCTGGTTGATATAATTCTACTAGTTTCTGTAAGAAACTTCAATACTCATTTCCATGGTAACTATAGTAGTTGCTATGGACTATTTAAACCTCCCCTCATCTTTGCCCACATTTGCTGTTGTCTAGAATTTGGTGGTATCTCAAAGCATTTTAATTTGAGTTTCTTGACACCTAATGATATTAAACAATTTATCAAGTGTGTATTGGCTATTTTTACTTTATTTTTTTAAAAAACCTGTTTGTCTGCTTATTGAATAGGTAACTCTATTTTAGTATTTTATATGTGAAATTTCTGTATTATTCTTTATTTATATCAGTGTTTTGCCTGAATGCATGAAGAAGGCATTGAATTTCATAGGACTGGAGTTATAAATGATAGCTAACTGTAATGTGGGTTCTGAAAATCAACCCCAGGTCCTCTGAAAGAGCAGTCAGTGGTCTTAACAATCCAGTCATCTCATATCTGGTATTTAATTTTTAAAATACTATGTACATTCTACATGTTTGTTTCCAGTTAGATGTATGGTTGGAATAGATGTCTTCCCATTTTATAAGCTGATTCTTTGCCTAATTGCTTCCTTCATTGTGTAGAAGCTAGTAAATAGCATGTAGTCCCATATGCCAGTTACTGGGATCATTTCCTTAGCTATTCTGATATTTCTAATGTATCTAAATTCTTTTTAACATTCATTGTTATTGTCGTTGTTAAGTGTCCTTTCATTCTTCTGTATCTATTTTTAATTTTTAGTATCTTAAATTCTCCTCTATTATGATTCTGACCCTTATGATTTTACATGAACTTGTCTACTATTCCAGCTACTATTATTGCTTTTAATAAGAATAGTCTAATATTCCTTGAAATCAAGCTCAAAACTCTTGATGCTGAAGGAGCACTCCATTAAGATATCTTTAAGTTTCTCTTGGGCACCTGAAGCTAAACTTGTCACGTTTCTACTCACATTTACTCAATCTGAGCATCTTTTGTCTCTGAAATAGTATTACCACCTTTTTGTTACATCCAGACGCATCAGTTGTAAGACTACTCTTCTGATTCGATACGTTTGTAGGTTTTATTGGCTACACACCTTCAGTAGGTCTTGAGCATCCATTTTCTTACTCATCATCATGTATCAACAGGCCCAAGAACTGGGAATGCAGACTTTTACATAGGCTTTCTTAATTTCTTCCTACCTTTTGGAATAGGGATATAGATCAGTCACAGAGTGTCTATCATGCATAGGGTCTTAATTCTAATCCTAATACCACATTAAAAAAACCAAAACCTCAGTCTTCCTAATACTGTGATTTTTAATACAGTTTCTCATGTTGTGGTGACCCCATCCATAAAATTATTTTCTTTTCTTCTTCATAACTTTAGTGAGTTGTAATGTAAAACATCTGTTTTTTTCCTGAAGGTCTTTGGGGGTCATGACCTGCAGGTTGAGACCAGTACTCTAGATCACAATTCTCCTCCTCCTCCTCCTCCTCCTCCTCCTCCTCCTCCTCCTCCTCCTCCTTCTATTACATTAAAGACAGAGAAGTTGTGTAAAACCATTTAATAACCAGAGTCCCATTGTCTACTGAGAGAAATGCACACTACTGAATGTGACACAATCTCTCTTTGCCAGCTTAAACTCACTCAACAAATACCAAATACTGAATGATTAGTAATTTAGTTTCAGACCTTTTCATTGTTATTGTTGGTGGTGGTTTTTTTTGAGGGAGGGTTTTGTTTGTTGCTTTTGTGTTGACTTTCCAAATTGAAGTTTTCTCTATCCTGATGTTCTTATTGCAGCCCCCTTACTTCTGATATTCTATCCTATTTGTTAAAAATTAAAACGTTTTGGAAAACTGCAGGATTTAGCCAAAGCCAGCCTCCTAGGCCTCTAAACTGGAAAAACTTGAAAAGGTTTCCTGTACTATAATTCTGAAAATAGTATTCATATTTTTGTTCATTCCTTAAATGGTACAAATCATTCTTTCTTGAATTATTCTAGAAAGTCTTTTACTCTTTATTGTGACTGTGGTGATGTCCTACAGGTACAGGAGGCTTTTTCAAAGTTTACAGAAAATAATAAAATCAAATATTATATAGGTTGAATTTATATTAACAAAAAGTACGTTCCCTTCTGCCCCTGCCTGGTCCGCTGGGCTGGAGCAGACACAGAGTCGGTCTGCTCCCGTCCTGTTGAGAAACTGAATCCTGAGTCATCCAGGAGCCACTGCACTCAGAGCAGCTGGTAAGATCTCCATCTCACTCCCTAAACCCAAGAGATAGATCGGGGAGCCAGGGACATCCAGGGCACAGCAGCTACCCAAACCCCGCCCCTCCGGAATTCCACTTCCCTTCTGCCCCTGCCTGGTCCTCTGGGCTGGAGCAGACACAGAGTTGGTCTGCTCCTGTCCTGTGGAGAAACTGAATCCTGAGTCATCCAGGAGCCACTGCACTCAGAGCAGCTGACACAGAGTCGGTCTGCTCCTGTCCTGTTGAGAAACTGAATCCTGAGTCATCCAGGAGCCACTGCACTCAGAGCAGCTGGAGCCACTGCACTCAGAGCAGCTGAAACTGAATCCTGAGTCATCGAGGACCCACTGCACTCAGAGCAGAAGGATTTCCAGATCCAAGAGGTGGCCTGAGTCCCAGGAGTTATTCCACCCAGGAGATTAGGAGCATAAGACCACAGAGACCTCTGGACTCTGAGGAGCTCTGCAATAAGCAAGATAACTGGAAATACAGACTCCAGTTTTACACAGTGAGGGCAGGTACCACTAGAGTTAACCAGATGGCGAAAGGCAAGCGCAAGAACATAAGCAACGGAAACCAAAGTTTCTTGGCATCATCAGTGCCCAATTCTCCCAATATAGCAAGCCCTGAACACCCCATCACACCTGAAAAGCAGGATTCAGAATTAAAATCACTTCTCATGATGATGATAGAGGATTATAAGAAGGAATTAAGTAACTCCCTTAAAGAAATACAGGAGAGTACAAGTAAACAGATAGAAGCCCTTAAAGAGGAATCACAGAAATCCCTTAAAGAAATGGAAGAAAACACAAAGAAGGAATTAAACAAAAACATTCAGGATCTGAAACTAGAAATAGAAACAATGAAGAAAGTTCAAAGGGAGACAACCATGGAGATAGAAAACCTAAGAAAGAGATCAGGAGTCACAGACGCAAGCATCACCAACCGAATACAAGAGATAGAAGAGAGAATCTCAAATGCAGAAGATACGGTGGAAAATATTGACACAGTTGTCAAAGAAAATGCAAAATGCAAAAAACTCCTAACTCAAAACGTCCAGGAAATCCAGGACACAATGAGAAGACCAAACCTAAGGATAATAGGTATAGATGAGAATGAAGATTCCCAACTTAAAGGGCCAGTAAATATCTTCAACAAAATTATTGAGGAAAACTTCCCTAACCTAAAGAACAAGATGCCCATAAACATACAAGAAGCCTACAGAACACCAAATAGACTAGACCAGAAAAGAAATACCTCCCGTCACATAATAATCAAAACATCAGATGCACAAAACAAAGAAAAAATACTAAAAGCAGTAAGGGAAA